GCGGAAGTTACAAAGATGCAATTATGTCGCTTATCTAAGAGCTTATACGTACTTGCGCTTCACTCTTTTTGTGGCGCAACTAACAGCTGACCACGGCATAAGAATGGCAGGCGACTGTTGTGACTAGATTTTCGTGGAAAAGGGGACTGGCCACCTCGGAATTAGTAACGAGAGCTAGTGCAACGGAAGAAAGCACGGCAGCCTCCCTACTTGCTAGTTGTCCGCTTGCCGATCTCAGTGGCCGAGCGGTCTAAGGCATGAACCGTCTTCGCCTCCTCAAACACTGGAATCGTGGGTTCGAATCCCTCTCAAGGAACGGATGTCTGTGAGCGTATATTCTGTGTCTGTTTTGTCCTGTGTGTAGGTAGAGGCCTTGCGACGGTATGACCCCCCGTCCAAGGAGTCCTGCTGTGTGTGTATAGAATTAAGAAACTGAAGAAAAGAAAACGTTAGAGGTACAACAAAGAACTGTAGAGCCATAGTTAGATAGTTGGCTGCTTTCCTGCCTAATTAACGAGCACACTGTGTAATCCTCCTCGAATCAATCAGGTTAAGAATAGAGTTGCATAGCAGGGCGTTCCTCTTTATTATTCCCTCCTCTACAGTTATTTCGTATCTGGCTCTATGAGCACTTTGTCCACACAACTTCCCGAAAGTGATAGAAATCTTGGGGCACGCAAAAATATCATGTAGGAAGGTACATCCGTGGCCAACGGCTAGCAGTCACTCCAGCTGTCTGTTACATACACACGTATATGGCACTTTTCTATTCGTGGGGTCCGCAGGATGGGCGTGAGTTCATTCGGTACGCCGGCCGCTACTATACCAGCTCCATTTTGTTCACCACAAATTCCACATAACCTGACCTGGTACCGAACTCGGGCCGCCAGGGTGGGAAGGCGGCAACCAACCGCCTCGCACGGCCTTCTCTGACGTGTAACACTAAAAATAAACATAACCCGGCATTTCTGTCTCAATCATACCACTGTCACCGTTCGTGTTTCCTGTCCCATGTGACGACAGTATGAACATGCAAAATGAAAGTGTACAGGAAGACGTTACTGTCAAGGCAGCCTATTATCCAGGCACTCAACTAGAGGGACTGAGGAACTCCACGAAACCTCATTTTTAGACAGCTGGCACTCCACCTCAGAATCGAAATTCTATAAGCACCTGCTGGGTTTCTTGATTGATTCTCAATTACTTAATGATGCTGTTTCAACTTCAGAGGTTACAAGGCATGTAGCAAGATGGGAGGATTTTTACGAATTATGTGTAAGAAGTACAGACTTAGAAGGATGCGAAGGGCTGACGAAATTGAGGAAATTAAAGCAATACCGAAGTATGAGAAGCATGTAACCTACCAAGATTCGAAACGGGTACCTCCCGAATGCGAATCTACCGCATACTCTTCGGTCCTTTCGGTTCGCAATAGTTTCAAGCAAAATTTACGAATTTGTATCAAGGGAAAACGTACGGGCACTGACATAGTCCTATCCCTATATATTTGGAAAGTGACCTTTGCATTGTTGTTGGATATCCTGCTTCGTAAGAAAATACATGAAAACTTTGTACGTCTGGCATATTAAAAGCTGTCTTTACTCGGTCAAAGTATACAAATACCAAATGACGACTCACCCCAAACATGGAGTCATCACGACCTGAGTTTGGGGTTACTGACATGACACCTATTAGTTCCCTTACTAATAACAAGCAGACCGGTCAGACTGCCGTCATATATTCCGGCCCCATAGCACTGAACCTGGCTGACAGCGTGGCAATACCGTCTGGTCTCTTGTTTATTCCTCGGGTTTTAAATCCAAGGAACTTTCACTTTCAGCAACTGCAGGCCTAAGGCACTCAGGAAACTGACCAATGCATGATTGTCTGCAAACGGGATCTAAACTGAGGCGATCTGAGACTGTGACGCGCATGCTGGAAATATCCCTTTCGTATTTCGGTGGGGGCCTGCTACAATTAACGAGGTTTCTAGTGATTTTACTCGCGCCATCTTGACAACTGCAAAACTGAGTTTGAAACAGGCCACGACAGTTTTCTCGCACATCCTCATTGAACTTAATGAGTGTTAAAATTGTGAACGTTAACTTAATTTAACTGACATGTTCTACACGTAAAACTGGCTCACAATACGTCTCACACAACAACTGCTTATTATTAATTCGTTTCATCAAACGGGTTGGCGTAAACGCTGACTCGTGTTCGGAAGGTGCTCGGCTCGAATATCGGCCACCGCACCGGCTATCAGGATTGCTATTTTTCGTGGTTTTTGTCAGTATCTCCCACTACATCATCTATACATTCGACAGTGTCGATATTGAAAGCGTTGTCAAATAACCCATACATAAACATTTTCACGAAAGAACTGAAGAAGCTCCGTCAGTTTTATTCTCCACTACACCAAGGAGGATCTTGCTTTCCGCTGAGTAACCGCATGCAAACTGGCTCCTGAAGAGTACCGACACGCTCTCCCCCCCATGTACACACCTATGTATATGTACAAGGATTTTGCTGCGATGTCCTTATTCTGTCCCCAAAGCGTTCAGGTTCATTGTTGTTAGCAGCAGTTACGTAAAGAACGGGCCGCGCCATAGCTCAAGCGGTTAGTCGCTGGCTCCCCACCGCGGCGGCTCGGGTTCGATCCCGGGGTATGGTCAAGTGGGATTTGTGGTGGACAAACTGGCGCTGGGGTGGGTTTTATCCGAGTACTTCGGTTTCGCCTGCCAATCTTCATTCCACCAAATTATCCATCATCATAATCACCTGGGGCAGGTACAATAGGCCAATCAGTGGCCGCCGTGCCGAGTGGACCCAACTGGACTCCCCCCCCCCATTATGTGAATTAAAAAAAAATTACGTAAAGAACCATCATTCATTCAGAATGGCGGACTAGATATCTGCAGAAAACAAATTTTCGTTGTCGCTGGCAGCGCGGAGAGTCAGTGACATCATTTTTCGTGCATAAGAGTCGCTCTCTTGTGGGAGTCTCAAACTGCACTGCGATGGCAATTGTTTCCTTCGAAGGTTCAATTAATGTGTTCCACACGAAATGGCGCAGAATGTGCGCGGATGCTCAGTAAAGATGTCACAAAATATGTATAAAAAGGCGTGTTTCGTGGTAATGTTCAAATAATACACATTAGCGATATTTCTGGAGTGTGTCAGTACTTATTCTGTATTTAAGGAATTTTTCAGCCTCTGACTGTTAACAACTGGTAAAGCTGTGAGTGAAACAATTATCTGTTATTTGGTGCTGAACTAGATAACTCACTCAGATTCTCTGTTCCCAGCTCAAAACAACGAGTTGTCGGGTTTATCTCCAGAGGAAAGTTGTTTCTTACTGGCAACATTACCGGGCAAAAACTTCCAAGAGCGGCACCGCTTAGCGTATGTGACTTCTCTATCACATCTGGGTATTTTAGCATGCATGTAGTGTTTCTCTAGAACTGTTCAAATTATTGAGGTTAGACTCTTTGACTGGGCTTGATTCGCACAATTTCCTTATGACATTTCAACGGGCTTTGTGTGTATAAACTGTATATGATTTCTTGACGCCCTAATAATATGGGACTACTACGGTTAATTTCGAATGTACTGACGAAGAAAAATTAACGTGAAATTATTACACGGATCTTGGAAAAACAGGAAGTTAGGATGTGGACTGGGTTCATCTCACTCGAATTGGGAGGAAGTTGCGGGCTATTGTGGACACTGGACTTTCGGTCCCATAAAAGGCGGAGAAGTTCTTGAGAAACGGTTATCAGCACCTGCCTTTCCATATGAAGTATCAGGTAGACGTACGGACTGAAATGAAATCAGTTACCCTAATGACGGGTAAGAGGTGGATACTATGCGAAGTGTTGATGTAAATACTTTTTCATATCAGGATTACTGGGACTTTGTACTTTATCCGGTATTCTATAAAACACGAAAGAACAAGTTTCGCAAACTGGAGCCGTTTCCGTCCTCGGTGAATGAAGTTAGTTCTTTCTAACGCGCCCAACAGAATGTGTGTGTCCCACCCCTCACCTGAGGCCGGAAACAGACCCAGTTTCCGAAATAGCGTTCTTTTGTGTTTTCTAGGAATAATGGACGAAGGACAAAGTCCAAAAACCCAGTAATCATGAGTGTTATACGCCATCGTCAGAACCAGATTTTGAAATATAACCAGCAATTATTTCTTTAAAAATAACCCACAAAAATTTGAATTTAACGGCTGCAAGTAGTTATAAAGTTTCTTTCGAGTCTTTGTGTTTTCCCCCGTCTTTTGAAATAACTGCTTGTTACATATGAAATACGACACTGTCTTTCGCACAACAAATCGAAATGTTACAGACTTTACTTTGCTGGGTGTTGGAAAGCTGAACTTATATCTGTGATATTTTGGATCTGGAAGTAAGTGGTCTGTTATTTGGCGGTAAATTATCTAGAAATGGTTTCTGATAATTTTCTGTCTGTGAAGTTTTTCTACTTTATTTGTTCATATGCAGGTATTTTGATACGATGAAATCCAAGTCGTACATCTGTGAGTTAAACATTCATGCAGCCACAGCAAATATTTTTTTTGTTCACAAATGTGGCTATAACAATTGCTTTACTTCAAAAGCTCTCTTTTAGGCATAGGCTGCAGCAGTACTTGAGCCTGTCAGGACGGGATAAATGAATCCGTCAAATGCAGTTTGTTCCCATCCATCAAATTATTCCTCCTCCTCAGCAATTAAATGCAGAGACGGCACTCGGTGATGTTAATACGATATAAAACTCCGAAACATGAGGATTGTAGACCTATCAAGAAGGCTGATAGGCTGAGAAGAGTTCGTTCAATTCTCGGCAAAGGCAATGACTATTTCTGGGGCCTCCCACACCACTTACGTGTGGGCCACTTCATTTGTGGCCCGCGAATAACAATGTGATGGATTTTCCAGGATCATTTTAAAGAACCGACGCCTTCATAATTAAACATAAATCTGACAAGTACTTACTAGCTGTAAGCGATGCAGCTGCCGATATAGACGCCGTTCTTCCCCTGGACGCTGCAGAGTTGCCCGATGCCACGACCCCGTACTGCTGCAGTGTGGACCCTGTGTCGTAGTTTCCCCAGAGCGCCGTATTGCTGACCGAAGAGTCCGCTGAGGGGCTGTTACTCAAATAATTGAGAGACGGGGTGTGGGCCGGCGCCGGGGCGGGAGAATACGGAGACGCCCGGTGCGCCATGCCGCTACTCGTGAAACCTGGCAGCGACACTGTACCATGCGCCGTGACCCCGCTCGACGCTGAACTGAATCGTTGAGAAAATGCGGGAAGAGCAGTTGGTGTGTGCTTGGGACTCGATGTGTAGTCCTCGGTGGAACCCAGCGACACTGTGCATTAGAATTTAAAATAATTGCATTATGGTACATAATGGCTCCTAGCTTATTTTCTACCAAAGCTCTTTGCTGGATACCATCCTCGGTCAATTCAATCCATTATAGTACTATGAGATATTCAAGCTGTAGTTAGACAAATATTTACGAAATGCCTAACGCCCCATTTCAAATCATCCGTCCGAAACTGGGCGTAACACAACACAGATCAATTACATTAAGACGGCGTTAACACGTCACAAAACTGAGAGAGGAAATTTAACGAACAATGTAAGGCAGTTCATAAACTTACAAATAGTCGACTGAAAAATGAATACATCATAAGGAGAATGCAAACTGATGTTTCGGAGGAACGTATTGCCTCCACTTTCAGGATCACACAATAAGCCAAGCGTTACATCCATAAAGACAACTCATCAGTCAGCGCCGAATTTCACATCTGGCAGGCTAAGAGGAACGAGGATAAAGGAAGATTGTGAAATTCATATTATTCTTCAGGCTTTTCCTCCATTCAACTGTTAGTTCAAACATGAATTCACGGATTAAGTATTGTAACAAAGAGTAATAAACAGAATGACCGACAGACAAGACTAAGGTAAGACGTAATTACTCCAAGCAGCGCAGAAAGTAGCACCGATTCACACTGCAGCACGCGGAACACAGGATTCGTGTCCACAATACTGAAGACGGGGAGATGGACTGGCGAACGAATATCCATCTCCCTCTTGGCCGGGCCATAGCTCAAGCGGTTAGTCGCTGGCTTCCCACCGCGGCGGCCCGGGTTCAATCCCGGGTCTGGTTAAGTGGGATTTGTGGTGGACAAAGTGGCGCTGGGGCAGGTTTTCTCCGAGTACTTCGGTTTCCCCTGCCAATCTTCATTCCACCAACTGCTCCACAATCACCCTCACCTATCATCTTGGGCTGGTACAATATGCCAGAAGTGGCCGCAGTACAAGGGACTTAGTCCCACCCCACTAGCAACAAAAAAAAATCCATCTCCCACGTAGCATTCATACAACTAACACCGATGTCTGGAAAACTTGCATATACGTATAAGCACAAAATAACGAGTCCATATGCTGACTTCTAAAGTCTGCACACCCATAGGATTACAGATGTGGATACAAGAAAAAAATTCCGTGGCCTATAGTCCGCTAGGGAACCACACCGACCGAGCGACAGCCGCTTGTCGGCGAAGTTAGTGCCAACTTTTGCGGATAGAGGGAATCAAGTAGTCAGCCCAACGGATCCCCACGGCCGTTAATCTCGGTTTTCTAGACTGGAGCCGGTATTTCCTTGAAATAGCTCCTCAATTATCCTCACGACGCTGAGTGGACCCCGTTCCTGACCCACTACTTCTCAGAAAATCTTGTAGCGCCGGAATCGAAGCCAGGACCTCTGCCCACTAGACCACAGAGGCGGTTACAAATGTGGATAAGGCATATGAAATGTGGGCTTATATTTCTCAGAATCACAATTATTGCTCGCCAAACGTCGCGGCTGCCTGGTTACTTCTCGTGCTCTGCATGCAATAGGCCTGGAATCCGAATTCGTCCCAGATTTAGGCTGCCCTGGCTATGGTTTTCGCTGTTTTCCTCAGAAACCGGAGAAAATAAAGGGATAATACCATAAAATAAGTCATGACCACTTCTTTACATGTCCTTTCAAATCGGCCATTCACAATCAATGCAAAATTCCTGCTTTACCTTCTCACTGTGTCTCATTAGGTAAGACATGAAAGGAACAAATAACAACTGATAGAAGACTTCCTCGCCGGTCACGGTTGCCGAGCGGTCTAAGGCAAGTAATATCTTCGCTTGCTCGGAAGCCGGGATCGTGGGTTCGAATCCCACTCAGGGCATGGATGTTTAGTTTGTGTCTGTGTGTTTTTCTGTGTTTGTGTATAAGTAGAGGCGTTGCGACGAGCTGATCACCCGCCCAGGTAGTCCTACAGAATGTGTAAGATCTAGAAAAACCGAAGTGAACGAAGACGTTCATGGAGGTAGGCCTAGGACCTCTGGGGCTGTAGTGCCAAGGAAAAGAAAAAGATGACTTCCTCATTAGAAGGCCGGCCAACTGTCGCCATCCAGAAGTATTTATCGGTGTATTATGAGAGCCATAATCAGTTATGGCAAAGTTTCTACTTACACGTATATGGCCCAAATACAGAGCCGTAGCGACATATTTTTATACGTTACAGCAACCTGTACTGCTTCAAACATAAACATGAATCACATTGCCGGATAAAGCACAGATGAAGTTCACCGCCATGAACAACTAAACTTCGGCTATGCAGCACCGAGAGCATATACTGAATTTGGCTCACTGAAAGAATGCCCATAGAGTGCAACATGTGAATGATCAACTTCTGCAGACCATCTACAAAGCAAATGTTACTTTTCATGCAGCACACTTACTTATGAACTTTAACTCTCATTTCCGAAAAAAACATGACACAAAATCTGACCTTCAGAAATATTTAAACTATGACCGCCCCACGGTTTGGGCGTCACTTACTCTCCTCTGTAACCGCTCTCTCTGTATAGTGCCCTTTACGTTGGGTGTCACCTTCTTGTTGTCGCCGTCCCCCTTTACCTTCCTGTTCCTTCACCTGGCTTCCGCCTGCAGCGGCTGTTGCTGATGCTCTTTGCCAAAGGAACACAGGTGAGTTTTCTTACCTCAGAAGGTAGAGATGAGACTATCTCAGGATCTTTTGTACGGGCCTCGCTCAGACAGGGAGGCAGAAGCGTCTAATGATACACTTGCACTTTGCATGTGAGTATAATNTTAATGATAAACTTCTGAAGGCCATTTAAAAAAGAAATGTAACTTTTCATCAAAACTGTGAATTTTATTTCCTAAATTCTGCTCTACGATCTGGTCTCTCCAACTCTTTAAGCCCAAATAAGGTTTCTGGTAGTCCTGAGACCATGTCAGCTCAACGGCTGTCACTCGGCCATACAAGGGATTCTCTTTCAGAAGGTACGGAAGGAGATAGCATAAGAAAAGGAGAAAATTATAATACACACGTGGAATAATGTAAGGAGGAAAGACAACGAAGAGGACAGTGAAAATAAACACACGACTATGGCGTAGAAGAAAAGGAAGTGGGCTTTGTCGTTTTACATTTCTCAGCAAATGGTAATTTTCCCAATGCCTGTGACGTACAAATCGGATGCAACACTTACCTTGAGTTGACCAGAGATTTTGAGAAGTGGCACTCTGTACTGTGACGTCAGATCCATGGCTTGTATTTAGATACTGCATGGCGTGGGGAGGATAGATGGCGCCCCGGGAGAACATCGGACTGCAACAGAGAAGCACACAGCTTGGTGGTTGTGACCTAGTCTACCCAGCAGCCTTCCCATCGCATCACTTGCAGTCCTACACGCTCTCTCTCCTCCTTTGCTTCCCAGCGGCCCTCCTCGTTGACAAAAAGTATGTCCAACACGCTCCTCTATACACGTCGCAAGTGTGAAAGTAAATACACACGAAAAATAGATCAGATAAGAGATTGATCATGAACACACTGCTCCTAAATTACTGAATCCTGGAGGTCAATAGTGGAACGATGCTGCTGACTTCGTATCTAAGGTCTCCGGTTTGAATCCACTTCAGACAACGGATGACGAAGTCAAATAAGACTCATTTCACAGCAGAACGAGACCATGAACAGACCCGTGGGGTGTCAACTGTTTGGTCATGTTTCAAATTATTGCATATAATTTACTTGTGTGGAAGTTCAAATACAGACCTACGTGAACTATACAAGTGTTATAATTTTTGTGTACATAGATGGATAATATTAAAATGATCTCAAAGGAATGTGGTGAAAAGGTTGGGATTGAATTAAAATGGCTCAGGTTTCGATCTACAGAAATCTTTGTCATCCAAACAGTAATGCCTTAGTTTCTGTGTGGATAGGATAATATCACAAGAAGTTCTAGGAAGAAATAATAGCCTACTTTCCTTTCAAAAAACACGAAGCGCACAGAAAATGAAGAAAAAGGGTGTACATAGACGGCAACGGCAATGTGATCTCATACGCCTCCTTGATACGACACGGACCGCACAGAAAAAGAAACAATTTGGAAGGGGGGGGGACAGCAAAGGTTACAACCTTTAACAGGAACGACCAATACGGATTTACAAGGGGACACTCCACAATATATGAATTGTTAAGTATCGTAATGCGCATTACGCAACAAGATATTAACAATATTCGTAAGAAGTTAAGGGAAGAGCTGATAGCCTTTCTTTATTTTTAAAAATATAAAAAGTAGGGTGAAAATGGATGTTAAAGGAATGTAGCGCAAAGTTTTGGCACAAATGGCTCGGGTTTGGGTCTAAAGGCACGGTTTCATTAACGCGGTGATGAATCTTCGCGTTTCTCTAAAGCCAGAATCTGTGACTGAGTTGACTAAGTATTTAGGGTTGTTGGATTTGTGGCTCTCACAGCGGTGGCTACGAAGTGTTCTATCTTCTGGGATATAATGCCATGTATACCGCCAAAGTTAACGGACGTTTCGGAGAAACATGCCGCTCCATGCCAGGTTCTTGCTTGGCTTACCTTTCGATCCTAAAATTGAGGCGGTGTGTTCTTCCGAAACGTCGGCCGACATTCACTAGACTATACGGCGTTATATCCCAGAAGACTCGAGATATCTACGTGTAGACAAAACAGCATTTTGAACACCTCCTGTGATCTGTGAATTGTAACCATGTACTTCATTCCAAATATTATCGGCCGTCAGACATGCTGACTTACAGGCAAAATTTGTATGCGCCCCGCGGCAAGCGGCGCACCGGCCGCCGTGAAGCGCAGAGCCGTGGACCCGGTCCACACACTAAAAATTCTCTCTGTACTATTACACTTTTAAACGACCAAACTACCACAATGACAAAGTTTACCAATGAAAAATAATCACTGAAAGTATTCACATTTGTAACATTCAGCCTATGGGAAATAAATTTTTCAGATCCTGAGCTTTTGCGTTACGTTCGAGTTTTCCATAAATACAGCTATCGCGTAAATGGGAGAGGAAATGGATGGAACCAGCGACTTCCTGGCAGTGGGTGGATGTTGCCCTTTCATTTGTACCCCAAAGATGCAGGCCGCAGTTCTTATCGTCACGACGACACGAGGAGCACCACAAGACACTTTCTCCTTCCCTTACAGCGAACTGCCAGGAACCCTAACTCCGCCGGCTGCAACAGGGAGGCTCACTTCCTTTCGGAAGTTTTCTGCCCTAAATTCCCGCAGCACTTAACATCACGATATTGTGTTTAGCATTCCTGATTCGTGGAGGATCGCAGTTTTACTCAGTACCTCCAGACGCATGCTGGAATATCATGAAACAGGCCACGATCGCTTCCTTCCATATTCGTTCAAAGCAATCACTGACACAATCATTCTACCGCCCTATGCTACATAGCCCAAGCACATGAACAAGCATAGTTATATAACTAGAAGATCAATTACAGGACAAGAAATTATGTTTTTTTTCTGTAGCGTGCGCCAGGTAAGAACCTCACTGAAACGTTCCGTTCTTCTCGGGGGAAAAATAACATCGACTGCTTCCACGTAAATGCAGGGATATGATCGTGTGTTAGAACATTACTCTACCTCCATCTACACCCTTTCATAGCCCCTAGTCCTTAATCTTCGAAGTAACTTGATCGATTTTCATGAAACTTGTTATGGGATGTATAGACTAAAATTTGGTAGCCCAGTTTTGGTCCGGAGGAGTTGGTTTCACACTGCATGAACTCAAACTGCCCAGCTTCCATAAAATGGTGCGTAATATACAACAAGCTATGCTAAGTTCTGTTACTTGCACGAGAACGAATTTTTGTTATAACAAATAATGAACTGGATGTCAAGGGAACTTACTTTATGTCAGGTACGGTCCATGCTACATGCCGGAAGGTCGCAGGATCGAATCCCGATGTGGATTTTTTCAATTTACCTAATCCTTCCAGCAGCACCACGGCCCTGGGGTCCACGCAGCGTCTAACAGAAATGAGTACCAGGAATATTCCTGGGGAGTAAAGCGCGGTTGGCGCCTAAGGTTGACAACTTTACCGCCATCTATGTGCCGATTGTCTAGAAACTGTGGGAACCACAACATCACACAACCCTATGGGCCTCCACGGGCTGTTACAAGGATATCTTTATTTTTACTTACTTTTAGGGTCGTGGAGCCTGTGTCGCTTAGTATCTCGTCTAGTGTCTACCTTCAGTAACAAAACTGCTTTTCTAGCACCATGTCCACGCCGAATATTACTTACGCCCACGTATCAGACAAAATGGTTATTCGGCTGAAGCAGACGAAGCGTGACGCTAACCACTCCCTTTCGCAAGAGTATTATTTCCACCTTACGATATTCCAGGGCCGTCACGATGTCACATGCAAAGAAATTCAACACTGGGATCCTAACCTTCTGAACTAACCTAATCACTGAAATCCTCACTAAATACATGAACTCCCACTAGATGCAGGAACAGCGAAGACAAACTTATGTCATCCTAAGAGCAGCTCATTGAAAAAGTTGTCCCTGTGCTCAACGAATTAAACATTACGGCATGAAGCCGTATGGGGGAGTGGATGTATAGACCCACATTTTCTTGACCTCGGCACTAGTTGGAGGTCAGCTTCACGCCACTGCCGCTTTACCCCCAGGGGAAGAGCACCCGGTACCCATTGGATAGGAGGTTTGGTGAACCCCAGAGCCGCTCTGGACGATTTTGAGAACATAAAATTCTTGACCCAGCGGGACTCGGAACTCCGACCCCTCAGTCGTCCAGCCTGTAATTAGTCGCTATACCGAATACGCTACCGCGGCTCCTAGTTTAATGAAAATTCTAAGTAAAAAGATTTCTGAAGCTAAAGAAAGTAAAAGTAACGTTGTCCCTGTGCTTAGTTACGCACGAAGTCGTGAAGACATATTGGGGATTGGTGGTATAGCTCAGTGCCATATCTCGTCGCTTGATGGAGGTGGATGCTCAGCTTCACGCTTCGGCCGCTTTACCTCCGCGGGAAAGATACCCCAGTATCCAAAAGAGAGCGGGCTTGGGGGGGGGGCACGAGCAGAGCACGTGTAAAATAGATTCTCCTCGGTCGTCCAGGCCGCTCCCTACTCACTACACAGACCGGCCTACCCCAGGTTCCGGACATAAAAAAAATCGAATGTAAGAAAATAAAGAAATGAACCTGGAGTAGGCGGCATACGAATTAGCAATAATAATGTAACGGATAAACGGGTCAGTGAGTATGTGGACAGGAAATGTCACCACTAAGTGAAGATGCTGGTTGAACACTCCCTCGGCGTGTCCTGACATCCCTCTACCAGCACGTGCACTCCATGCTCAGTTTAACGGAACGTGAGGGCGCACTTTCTTCTGTCACCCGGGTCAGAGCGCATAAGGCTCGTGCCCACAGCAATCCCGCACAGGAATTCAACAAACGCTGTGTTTATTTTGAAGCGTAATCAGAAACACGCGTGATGTATTACACACGTGCGTAACTTAACGGTCACAACGCGATACGTAACGTTTGTACTACATTTGTCTTGAAACAAAGATAAGAGGAACTACATATACTTGCAATATTATCGATATCACGCGTTCCAACGGTTGAACATCCGTTCTGTCCCTCGCAGTTATCTACTTCGAACATCAGCTGATGTCCGTTACCTGGCAGCATGTTTTGGTTCTTATACAAGTCTCTTCAAACATAATCTGGGCTCGAATGCCTTTCAGCGAAGTTAATTTTAAGTGGGAATTTCGGTAGTGCCTTGCCGATCACAGTGGGCGCGCGGTCTAAGGCATGAATTCTCTTCGCCTGCTCAGTCACTGGGTCGCTGGGATCGTTGGTTCGAATCCCACTCTAAGCATGGATGTCAACCGCGCCATAGCTCCAGCGGTTAGTCGCTGACTTCCCACCGCGGCGGCCTAGCTTCGAGCCCGGGTGTAAACATGTGGGGTTTGTGATGGACAAAGTGGCGTTGGGGCAGGTTTTCTCCGAGTACTTCGGTTTCACCTGCCAATCTTCATTCCACCCATCGCTCCACAATCACCATGAGCTACCATCTGGGGCTGGTAAAATAGGGCCGCAGTACCAAGTGGACTCAGTTTCACTCCACTAAGAACAAAATTAATTAAAAACTGGATGCCTGTCCACGTTTCTTCTGTTTTCTTTGTCCTGTGCAGGAAGCGGCCTTGCAACAGGGCTGATCCCCCGTCCGAGGAGTCTTGCCAACTGTCTATAAGATCCATTGTTCCAAATTAACTAGTTCAACACGGGG